CCCTGTCCCCTGCTCTCCTCTACACCGTCCACCCTGTCCCCTGCTCTTCTCTACACCATCCAGCCCGTCCCCTGCTGTTCTCTACACTGTCCCTCCAGCAACCGTGTTTCAGTCCAGCAAAGTTCAGTTTAAAATTTAACAAGAAAGTATAGCTTTTAAAAACAGTTTATGATCCCTCTGCTTACCCTGTGGCCCTGAAAGTCCCCTCCAGGCTTTCTGCAGTTTTGAGCTCTCATATTTGACACAAGTTTCTTTTTTCTGCCTTCTACTGTGTATGTTCTTTGACAGCCAGGATGTATTTATGGAGGGGATGGGATATGTTGTACCTTTTCCTTTGTCAGAATCTTCCTTGCTTCCTCCTTGAATCCCTCCCACTGGTCTGACACTGATTTACCTTCAGGCAGCTGTTTCCAGTTCATTTTTGCCAAATCACATCTCAACTTGGTAAAATTGCCCTTTCCCCAATTTAAAATTTTTGATGTCTTTTGCAATGACACTGTGTGAAATCTAACTGAGTTACAGTTCTGAGCAGATGATCTTGTTGTGTATATCTGTTTTCTAATGATCTGAACTGAGGTTTTTAACTTTCAAGTGGAGTTGGTCTATTCCTACTTCAGTTGAACAGATCTGAACTGAACTTGGAGGAATTTGATTTGTATTTTACATCTTCTCTTCACTGACACCTAGGTGCTGGGGTGGCTTTGCTGAATGATCATATTTATGTGGTCGGAGGCTTTGATGGAACTGCCCACCTTGCCTCAGTAGAAGGTTATAACATTCGCACAGATTCTTGGGTAACAATAACGAACATGACAACACCTCGATGCTACGTGGGAGCAGCTGTACTACGCGGGAGGTTATATGCTATCGCTGGGTATGTCACATTACAACGAAGGTGTCGCAACTCCAGTGTAGTTTACCAGTCCGCCAGCTTGTCCTGCAGAATGTCATTAATGTATTGAATTAATATCTTGAATTACACTGAATAACTTGGAATAAGGACACTATCTGTCAGTTTCTGTCTATATATTTAATGGGTATCTGTGTTATTGTATTTCTGAGCATTCATCCATGCCCCTGTCTCTTGCCCCCATTGGTAACTGTATTGACCTGTTTAAATTTCCCTGTAACCTTGGCCCTCCCTAATTCTGTAACCTTTTTAGCTCCACAATCATCTAAGAATCTGCATTCCTCAAATCCTGACCTTCTGCCTTTCAGCCACTTCCTCCCACTATTAATTACTGTGTCATTTAGCTTCAGTCTAGACCTTTCACTCTGGAATTCCTCTATTAAGTCTGTCTCTCCTCCTAATCTTCTCTTCTTTAGCTCAATTCAGTTTTGTCTTATTCCACTCCTTTAAAGCCCCTTAGAGGCATTTTGCTATGTGCAAGTGCTTTATAAATGCACTCCCTGTGCAACCAGAGCATCCTTCCTCAGATAGGGAGACCAAAACTGCACACAGACTTGAGGTGTGGCCTCACTGAAGACCTGTGCAAGTGCAGCAAGACATCCCTGCTCCTGTACTTGAATCCTCTTACTGGGAAGTTGAACTTGCTATTTACCTTTTTCCCTGCCTGCCGTACCTGCATGCTTACTTTCAGCAACTAGTATACAAGGACACACGGGTCTCATTGCACTTCCCCTTTCCCAATCCCTTGCCATTCAGAAAATAATCTGCCTTCCTTTTTTTGGTACGAAAGTGGATAAATGTTTATCCACAATATACTGCATCTGCCATGCATTTGCCTACTTGCATAACTTGTCCAAATCTCACACACAAACATCTCTGCATCCTTCTCACAGTTCACCCTCCCATCCACCTTTGTGGCCTGCATTACATTTAGTTCCCCCATCTAAATGATTAATCTATATTGTGAATAGTTGGTTAAATACTCCAGAAAATCTGTAACCAAGTCACCTCTTGTAAGACCATAAAGTGTTCAAGCAGAACTAGGCTGTTCAGCTCATTGTGTCTGCTATGCTATGCTATGCAATGTGATTATGGCTGATTAGATAATCCTCAAATTTGCTTTGCTGCCTTTTCTACATAAGCCTTGATTCCTCTATTGATTACAAATCTGTCTATCTCAGCCTTGAATCTACTTAATGACCCAGTCTCAACAGTCCTCTGTGGTAAAGAATGCCATAGAATCATTACCCGGAGAGAAAAATGGCTCGCTTGTTTTAAATGTACAACCCCTTATTCTGAAATTATGCCCTCTGGTCCTAGACTCTCCATAAACTTCAGATCATACAAGCTACCTCTGTCCATATCCTATCCTGCACCAAATCCTGTTCCTCCTTTTTGAGCAAGATTTTAGCTACACCTCCTATTATTTCCTTTGACTCGCTGTTGTTTTGATAAGACCACTGTGAAGTTCCTAGGGATGTACTTTCTGTTCTAAATTAAAGTGCTATATTTGCTGTTGATGCATGCAGCAATTCCAAGGCATCAGCATCATAGTCCACTGTCAGGACAGGTTCTTATCATAGCTCTCCACCAAATTGTCAGTCAATGTACCTCACCTCCCACCTGGAGTCTCATGAAATGCAAAATAGTCTTTAATAGCCTGATAGAGACTTCCAGCGGTAAGATTAGTTTCCTTTGACAGAAAAGTTCTGTTGGTTAAAAGTGGATCGCTCAGGGTCTCTGGTTTATTCTTGACAGATACGATGGGAATTCGTTGCTGAGCAGTATAGAGTGTTATGACCCCATCGTCGACAGCTGGGATGTGGTAACTTCAATGGGAACCCAACGCTGTGATGCTGGAGTGTGTGTGCTGCGTGAGAAATGAGAAACAGACAGCGAGAGTGGAATGGAATCTCAAATGAAAAGTGTGTTTCAGCATTCCTTCATTCATGCCTTCAGCTGTGATGTTTGTCTTTTTTTTTTCTTGGAGTGCAATATTTGGAGCTAAACGTAAAACTTTTAGAAAATGAGCAACGATTTGCACAAAAACAGTTGAAGCTGTGCAGCTAAGAACCTGGATTAAGTGAAGTATACAGTTCAGAAACTTAGAGACAATAGATTCATGTAAGAATTTCTGTTTTGGTTTGCATTTCATGTCAGTGTGGACTGGAATGAGCTGTTTATACACATGGAGAGCAGCTGACTGCTAGACCACACCTCATCCTGTTACTAGCTAACCTGAACTTTGAAGGATTTTAACATTAAGCATTTTGATATGTGTTCATTGCATGTCTTGGCAACAGTGCACTGAACACCAGAACTCAATGTACTGCAGTCATTTCAGCACCTCAGCTTTCTCCATAATCGGTGAAAAAAACAGTAGCAGTCTAAAATGCAAAATGCCAGCCAAGACTGCCAGAGCCAGATTCAAATGTAGCATCAGCACTGACTTGGAAGCATTATTTTTACTGTGGTACTGACTGAGCTATGGTGAGAACTGTCCACTATGAATCTTTCCAGTACTGAGTGACAGCATTTTATTTAAAAGTGACTTTCTACAGTTATGTACTGAAAGTGAACTAATAAACCCTCTCCTGTAAGTCACAAGTTCAATAAATACCCTTACACAGGTTATCCTTACAGAGCTTATATCAGAGAAAGACTAGTTGATATTGGAAGACTTGAATATTAAAAGTTACATTTTTAAAGAAGTTTTCTTCAATTTTTTCTTTGACACGATGCAGGTGTCAGCACTTCTGTTGTCACTGTGACATAATCTTTCAAAACAGGAAGCCACTTGCTTGCTGTTCCTGCACATTTCACCTTAGCCAACAGTTTGACTGCGACCAGTGAGAGGGATAGACCTGATGCACAGCCTGGAGGGTTATGCACTTCAAATTCTCACAGCATTTCTCAACTATATAACAGCCTCGGTTCCCTGCTGGAGGTCAGCTGGAGTAGACAGAGGGAGAGGAAACAAACAATTTTTGTAACAATACTCAGCTGAATGCAAGGTACAAATGTAAAGACATTTGTCCTTTCCTTGGATTGAAGGAAAGAATTCTATACTGAATCTCACAAAAGGTACAGCACAAAGAGGTGACTGGTCTGTTATAGGTATTGATGCTACACATAAGCTGCATCTCAGCCACTTTTATCTACATGTAGCAGCATCGCTTTCTATTCATTTCTCAATGTGTGCTTATCTAGCTTCCCCTTCAATGCTGTTTAATAAGTTTCACTTTCTAACCACAACTTTAAACTAGAATTTCATACATTAATGGTGAAAATAGATTAGAATTTGACGAAAAAATATTTTTCTGGTATTTAAATAACTTTGGCACATGACAAGTAACAATCCAACATTTTATTACTGCCAGAGTTTCCATCTGCACATTCTTTACAATGGCATTTTAATACATTTGATCTTCTATACTACATTCTTGATGATCATTCCATACTAACCATTTCCAGCATGATTACAGTCTTCTAATGTGCGGCAGGTCTGTTAACACGGCATGGTTTCAACTAAGAACGTGACAAGACCCCTCTCATTTTTATATTGACAAGTAACAATCCAACATTTTTACATTGAATAGAGAAATACTGGTGGGAAGCGGGACAAGAACATTGTAGAAGCTCAGTGCTCGGAGAGCTGCGCTGCATGCCAAATCATTTCTTAATCAGGCACCTCCATGTGAGGAATCTAATGCACTTTCTTGAGGTCTATGAAACTTGGATTGATTGCTGTAATCACAATGTTAAATTCCCCACACCCTACCACAGGAGATCACGGTCACCACCACCACCACCTTTCCAAGATGGCAGCACTGTTAAATTTTGATTAATGTGGCAAGTGAGACGGGTTTCCTTGAATTACTTTCCAAAGCTTGGTATTTTAAATTCAACATCATTGCTCATGCTTGTTGGGCAGCCATGAACTTTTCACCACAATATTCAAAAAAGAAACTTTTTGACTTTGGCACCTTTTCTTTAATAAGATTAAACCAACTCAGTTGTCAGATTTTCCAACATCTGCTGAGTGGAGGAAATCGGAAGTCTGATGACTAATTCTCACCGCAAGCAAAATGTGCCACATTTACAATCCACTAGCCTGATTTGCAAAAGCACAATTTCATCAGTTAGTTTGATGAATTTAAGAGCAAACAAAACCTATTCCTTACCATTGAGCAGTTAACTTTCTGAATGCTAAATATACCAAGGCATTCCTTCAGTGGCTCCATGTGAACAGAAGCTAAAAATTAGTTATTCCACTTGTCATTGGTCTCACTCCACCAGCCACTTCTTTTAGTGGCTGCTGTTTATGACTTTGACTTTCACTCCTGGGGCTAACTCAATTTCCTTTTAGGTTTCATGTACCAACAGCAGGGAAAGGTAGCATCTCAAAAAAAGGCAATTTCACCACAATCTCTTAATGGACAATCTGCCCTCACACCGAAAGCAAAGGTTCTTGAGGAGGAGGTTGTTACATTGCTTGGTAACCATCTTACTCTCTAGGGGATACTGAAACTACAGGAAATTGAGGGTGGCAGTTGGAATGTAGAATGTTCTTTGGCTTGATGTCAAATTGTATTTGGAATGTATTTTAATGTATATTTTCATCAGTTTCATTTTCTCCATCACCCATTGCGATCGCCCATTACATCACAGTGAACAAGCTTTTTCCTAAAAAGAAATATCAAAAATAAACTAATTATGAATACAAGGCAAACGAGATTCCAATCAAAATTTCAAGTTTAAGCTTGAATAGTACCCATTCTGTTTCTGACTCAGCCCCATTTCTGTCTTAAGTGCAAAAGTTAGACAAAACATTTCTGTGTGTCAGTTATTTGGCTGCAGGTTGAGGTTTGGCTTTGTTGCATGCACTTGGCCCATATCCCTACAAACATTTCTTATTCATGTACTAATCTAAATGCCTTTTAAATGATGTAACTGTACCCACATCCACCACTCCCTCTGGAGGTTCATTCTACACACTAACCACGGTGTTAAAAATATTGCCCCTCATGTCTTTCCTTAAAATCTTTCTCCTCCCACCTTAAAAATATGCCCCCTAGTCTTCAAAATCCCCAAGCACAGGGAAAAGACACCTGCCATTCACCTTAGATAGCAAGAACTGCAGATGCTGGAGTCACAGAAAACGAAGTGTGGAGCTGGAGGAACATGGCAGGCCAGACAGCATCAGAGGAGCAGGAAAGCTGATGTTTCAGGTCGGGACCCTTCTTAAGTGTCAGCTTTCCTGTTCCTCTGATGCTGCCTGGCCTGCTGTGTTCCTCCAGCTCCACACTTTGTTATATCTGCCATTCACCTTATCTATTCCCCTCATGATTTTATAAACCTCTATAAGGTCACCCTTCAAACTCTGATGCTCCAGTGAAAAAAAATCTCCCAGCCTATCTCTCCTTATAACTCAAACCTTCCATTACCAGAAACATCTTGGTAAATCTCTTCTAAACCCTCTCCAGCTTAATAATACCTTTCCTATAACAGGGTGACCAGAACTGCACACAGTACTCCAGAACAGGCCTCAGCAATGTCCTTTACAACCTGAACATGATGTCCTAATTCCTATTCTCAAAGGTCTGAGCAAGGAAGACAAGTGTGGTCAACGCCTTTTTAATCACCCTGAATATAAACTTCAAAAAATTATGTGGCTGAACCTCTAGGTCTCTACAACACTACCCAAGGCTCTACTTTTAATTGTACAAATCATGCCCTTGTTTGTTTTACCAAAATGCAATACCTCTCATTTATCCAAATTAAACTCCATCTACCACTCCTCAGCCCATTGACCCAATTGATCAAGGTATCTTTGTAATCTTAGATAAGCTTCTTCACTGTCAACTATACCACCAATTTTGGTATTATCCGCAAACCTACTAACCATGCCTTCTATATTTGTATATAAATGATTTATATAAATGTCAAATAAAAGTGGACCCAGCACCGATTCCTTGTGGAACACTGCTGGTCAAAGGCCTTCAGTCCGAAAAACAACCTTCCACCATCACTGTCTCCTGCCATTAAGCCAGTTTTGCATCCAATTGGTAAACTCACCCAGAATCCAATGTGATTAACTTTAGTAAAGCTTTTGACAAGGTTCCACATGGCAGACTAATTAGTGAAGACCAAGTAAACAACGCCTACTACTCTGTCCTCAATATTCTCGGTTACCTCCTCAAAAAAAAAATCAAGTTGTGAGACACCCTCGCACAAAACCACGCTGACTATTCCTAATCATTCCTTGCCTCTCCAAATGCATATAAATGCTGTCTTTTAGAATCACCTCCAAGAAGTTACCCACCACTGAAATCAGACTCACCAGTCTATAGTTCCCAGGCTTCTCCTTACATCCCTTCTTAAGCAAAGGCAGATTAGTCAATCTCCAGTCATCCGGCACCTCACTCTTATTTAAAGATGATACAAATACTTCTGCTAGGGTCCCCGCAATTTCCTAACTTCCCATGACGTCCTGGGATACATTAGATCAGGTCCTGGAGATTTATCCACCTTTATATTTTATAAGACCTCCAGCATTTTCTCTTCTGTAACGTGAACGGTTTTCAAAACTTCAGTATTTATTTCTGACTACTCTAGCCTCCATTTCTTTCTCTACAGTAGACGCCGATGCAAAATATTCATTTAATATCTCTCCCAAGACCAGAGGCTCAACACAAAGACTACCTCTTTGATCTTTAAGGGGTCTTACTCTCTCCCCCTATATCATTCTAAACTAATCCTCTTGCCCTGCTGACTGAGTAACCATCTCAGCTGAGCCAATCCTGTCCACATTGCAGGAGTCGCTAAGTGGAAGATCCCCAGGGGTGTTTCTTTTTTTCCCTTTGCTCTGTGGGTTGACACAATGAAGCTTTAGTTACCATTTCAGATGGCCTTGTGTGGCTTAGGCTATGACCAACTTGTTTATATGGCTGAGATAGTAGGAACTGCAGATGCTGGAGAATC